ATTGCTCTTAAATCATTTTAAAATTAGATATGGCTAAAACAGATAGTCCTCACATATCTCTGCACAAAACTCCATAAAAAAAACAATAGTAATGAATCTGGTAACTTTATATCACTAAACCTTGATAAATAAACTCATACAGTAGCAATGTTTAAACACTTTTAATTAACTTTCAAACAATAATACATGCTTACATATTTTGTTGAAGCAAGTTGCAAACAAACTTGGGTTTGTATGTGAGGCTGAGATATGCCACACTTCTCCTGCCGTGTGCAGAAAAACGTTCTTGGTGACTGTATGGTTCTCTTCATCATATGTCAGATGATGAACCTACAAGATAAGTTACATTGTAACAACTTGTTATGACATACATTACTGGTGACTGTATGGTTCTCTTCATCATATGTCAGATGATGAACCTACAAGATAAGTTACATTGTAACAACTTGTTATGACATACATTACTGGTGACTGTATGGTTCTCTTCATCATATGTCAGATGATGAACCTACACAAGATAAGTTACATTGTAACAACTTGTTATGACATACATTACTGGTGACTGTATGGTTCTCTTCGTCATATGTCAGATGATGAACCTACACAAGATAAGTTACATTGTAACAACTTGTTATGACATACATTACTCGTGACTGCATGGTTCTCTTCATCATATGTCAGATGATGAACCTACACAAGATAAATTACATTGTAACAACATGCTTTAATAGACATTCTTGGTGACTGTATGGTTCTCTTCATCATACGTCAGATGATGAACGTATACAAGTTACATTGTAACAATATATATTATAATATACATTTTTGGTGACTGCATGGTTCTCTTCATCATATGTCAGATGATGAACCTACACAAGATAAATTACAATGTAACAACTTGTTATGACATACATTACTGGTGACTGTATGGATATCTTCATCATATGTCAGATGATGAACCTATACAAGATAAGTTACATTGTAACAATATATTATAATATACATTTTTGGTGACTGCATGGTTCTCTTCATCATATGTCAGATGATGAACCTACACAAGATAAGTTACATGTAACAACTTGTTATGACATACATTACTGGTGACTGTATGGTTCTTTTCGTCATGTCAGATGATGAACCTACACGATAAATTACATGGTAACAACATGTAATAATATACATTCTTGGTGACTGGTTCTCTTCATCATATGTCAGATGATGAACCAACACAAGATGAATTATCTTGTAACAACAAGTTACAATATACATTCTTGGTGACCGTATGGTTTTCTTCATCATATGTCAGATGATGAACCTACACAAGATAAATTACATTGTAACAACAAGTTACAATATACATTCTTGGTGACCATATGGTTTTCTTCATCATATGTCAGATGATGAACCTACACAAGATAAGTTACATTGACTGAACCTGTTTACAAACCCAAATGACCACTAAATGACTCTGACTGAATCTGTTTACAAACCCGAATGGCCACTAAATGCCTCTGACTGAATCTGTTTACATACCCAAATGGCCACTAAATGCCTTTAACTGAATCCATTTATAGACCCAAATGGCCACTACATGCCTCTGACTGAATCTGTTTACAAACCCAAATGGCCACTAAATGCCTCTGACTGAATCCATTTACAAACCCAAATGGCCACTAAATGACTCTGACTGAATCTATTTACAAACACAAATGGCCACTAAATGCCTTTGACCGAATCCATTTACAAACCAAAATGGCCACTAAATGCCTCTGACTGAATCCATTTACAAACCCAAATGGCCACTAAATGCCTCTGACTGAATCCATTTACAAACCAAAATGGCCACTAAATGCCTCTGACTGAATCCATTTACAAACCCAAATGGTCACTAAATGACTCTGACTGAATTTGTTTACAAACCCAAATGGCCACTAAATGACTCTGACTGAATCTGTTTACAAACCCAAATGGCCACTAAATGCCTTTGACTGAATCCCAAATGGCCACTAAATGCCTCTGACTGAATCCATTTACAAACCCAAATGGCCACTAAATACCTCTGACTGAATCTGTTTACAAACCCAAATGGCCATTAAAGGTTGAACCCGCACTTCTTGACTCTGTCTTATGGACAGATCAACATGTAGCTGGTAAAACTCATTTCGATGAGGATGTTCTGGACTCCCCCATGGCCAGGTACAGTAGAACAAAGATCACCACCACAGGGAAGAGGCAAAGCTAAGAGGAGTAGAAAAAGGGGTAGAGCTCCAGTGAGTGCTACCACTGATCCTTCCTCACAGGAGAAGCCTCTTGTGTGCAGTAATATTTGGTTATGGGTGAAAATCGTGAAAAAAGAAGAACATATACCTCCATTCAATAGAGGTGAACTAGTCCCCCTGACAGTTCACTTCTTTGAATAAACCAATAGAAATTTTCAAATTCCTTTTTATAGTGGAAGCTCTGCACCCAATTGTAGGTGAAACAAACAGATATGTAAACCAAAATGAATCACCTCAAAAGAAAAAAGCTGTAATGTGGAAAGAAGTTACTGTTGAGGATATCTTAGCTTACTTTGGCCTAGTTATAGTTATGAACCTTAAGCCTCATCCTTCTATTTCTAACTACTAGTTTACTTATCTTCTCTTTCATAATTCTTGGTTTACTAAAATATTTTCCAGGGACAGGTTTTTAGCTATTCATAAACATTTGTATTTTAATAACAACTGTAACACTTCCTAAGACTGACCCTAACCATGACAAACTTTTTAAGGATAGACCTATCACAGACCTTCTTCTGAAGTCCTTCGTTTCACACTGTTCTCCTAACAGGAAACTGTCTGTAGGTGAGCAAATGTTGGGTACAAAATGTAGGATGGGTTTCCTTCAATACCTACCAAAGAAACCAGTCAAGTGGGGTGTCAAGTGGGTCCTGGCAGATGCTGTATGTGGGTACTGTTTAAAGTTCAAGATCTACACAGGCAAGGAGAGACAAATGCCAAGCAGAGGTTTAGCGGATAATGTTGTCATGAACCTGATGGACAGATTCAACAAACTAGGACACTTTCTTGTTGTCATGGACCTGATGGACGGATTCAACAAACTAGGACACATTCTTGTTGTCACGTACCTGATGGACGGATTCAACAGACTAGGACACTTTCTTGTTGTCACGTACCTGATGGACGGATTCAACAGACTAGGACACATTCTTGTTGTCATGGACCTGATGGACGGATTCAACAAACTAAGACACTTTCTTGTTGTCATGTACCTGATGGACAGATTCAACAGACTAGGACACTATCTTTTTATGGGCAACTTCTACACTTTCCCTCACTTGCTTGATAAATTGTTGGCTGTTGGAACTTGTGGGACATGCAGGAAGGACAGACTGTAACAACCTTACAATAAGGAGAAGCACAATGTTTTAAATGTGGAAGTCTGACAGCTGTGAAGTGGATGGACAAACAAGACATCTACATCCTTTCTACTTTACATACCAGTGCCATGACAACTATAAGAAGAAGAGGAAGGAATGCTGAGGCTACAAAACCTCAGCTAACTGTAGACTATAACAAGTTTATGGGAGGAGTAGACCTCAATGACCACTTCCCCAGCTACTATTCAACTGGACGAAGGTCAATAAAATGGTACAAAAACTGTTTTTTTTTACTTTTGGATTTGACCACAGTAAATCCTTTTATTCTCTACAAGACAAAGACCAATCAGCCCAGACATCCTTCAGGATGGAGCTGGTCACTTCTCTTGTTAAGCCTCTACTTCAGAGCAGACCCGGTCCTTCTGGTATTCCATTTACAACATCTGCACAGGACTCTCTTCCGAGACTCACTTCTGACAGGCATTATCCAATACTTGTCAAAAACGTAAAAAGAAAGATGTAGACTGTGCCTTACAGACAACAGGATACTCACAAAGTGTATGTTCTGTGACGTGTATCATTGTATGAAACACTCTGCAGAGTATCATACCAGTGATACTCTAAGATGTTAAGCTTTTACTTAATACATAATCAAAACTGTTGAATTACCATAGCTGAATTATTTTGCATGTTATAATATAAACTAATAATAAATCTGTTTATGATAGTTTCACTAAAATATTGTTTATGTATTGGCTGTTTTTCCTTCTACAGTTCTTTCTTTTCCTCTAAGAACTAACAAATATCTTAGACGGTAGCATCTTAACATTTTATTGTATTTAAATGTTACAAAGTTTTGCCTGAAATATTTTTGTAAAGTTTTCTTTTGTTATTCATACACTTGTATGTATGATACTCCCTTTCATTTTGTAATTTTTTCTGTGCAGAGCTTCATGTATATTTCCTGAAAATTCTTCATTCTCAAACATTTGTATACAACTCTGTATATCAGAGTTTGTGTAACTTAGATATTTTTGCATTTTCTGTTATTTATACACTTCGGTCATGTGTTTTCTAAAACGTAAATATATCTATGTAGTTATGTGAAATATATGTATATAGATTGGTACTCATTTATAGTTTCTATTGTACATGTTTTTGAAAGTTATTCACATTCTTGAACAGTTGTATAGAATCAGTTCAAGAATGTGAACAAATTTGTATAACTGTTTCAGTTTTTGATTGTACATTGTAAGTTAATATTTGCATACATTTATATAGATCAGGTATGGTATCTGATGATGACAAAACCTTGTCGAAACGTCGTACATTTGCTGTTATGTTAAACTTATATTAAAGTTTTTCTTCATTACCCATTCAAGCCGTCTCCAGCCATTAATAGATCAGGTATATAACAGCTTTTCGTTGCTTTCTTTTACTGTAAAGCCGTCTCCAGCCATTAATAGATCAGGTATATAACAGCTTTTCGTTGCTTTCGTTTACTGTAAAGCAGTCTCCAGCCATTAATAGATCAGGTATATAACAGCTTTTCGTTGCTTTCTTTTACTGTAAAGCAGTCTCCAGCCATTAATAGATCAGGTATATAACAGCTTTTCGTTGCTTTCTTTTACTGTAAAGCAGTCTCCAGCCATTAATAGATCAGGTATATAACAGCTTTTCATTGCTTTCTTTTACTGTACATTTCTAAATGTTACGAATAAATATAAGTTGTAAAGTTTCTAATGTTGCATCATTTGCTTTTACTTTACCTCAGTTAGAAAAACACAAGCTCAGTAAGCCTAACTACATAGCCCTACAAAGTACAAATCTAACTGTAATACCAATATTTTTCAAACTACACTGATATTTCAGCTACCATTCATTACATACATGTCTATGTATTTACTCACAAATGCTTAAATTTTAGTTATTTTTCTTAAAACATGAACAATAAATAAAAATTACATAGAAAACAATGATTTCTAGTATTTACGCGAAGTTACGGTGATAGCAATATATTTTGCCTTTATTGCTAAGCCTCGTTATTTTATCTGAGTGGAGGGTAAAGAAATATAATTGTTGTAGGCTTCAAATATACATTTTAGAAATAAAAAAATTAATTACTCTACTAGTACACCCAAAACATCTGTAACTAGCTTGGGTTTATAAGTAAGATACATGTGTTAAACAAATTAATATACATTTGGAGGAACACCATTCAACAGTCTTGACAAAATTATTATTTTCTCTTCCAAACAACTGTAAGAATCATGTCAAGCAAATCTTGTCCTTTCTATTGGTTATATACAAACCCTTAAGAAAAGTAGGCGGAACTATACTTTTAGACTTTGTAATTTGAATACTTGTGGATGCACAAAACTTAACTTTTAGACTTTGTAATTTGAATACTTATGGATGTACAAAACTTAACTTTTAGACTTTGTAATTTGAATACTTGTGGACGTACAAAACTTAACTTTTAGACTTTGTAATTTGAATACTTGTGGACGTACAAAACTTAACTTTTAGACTTTGTAATTTGAATACTTGTGGACGTACAAAACTTAACTTTTAGACTTTGTAATTTGAATACTTGTGGACATACAAAACTTAACTTTTAGACTTTGTAATTTGAATACTTGTGGACATACAAAACTTATATAAGACTTTGTAATTTGAATACTTGTGGACG